AGCCCCACAGATCGCACACACGCCCCCAGCCCCACGGATCGCACACGGCCCCAGCCCCACGACTCGCACACACTTCCAGACCCACGGCTCGCACATGCACTTCCAGCCCCATGGATTACACACACGCACCCACCGATAACACACGTGACCCCAGCCCCACAGATCGCCAGCCCACAGACCTGGCCCCACAGATACAGCACCCATTTATCCAAGCCCAACAGCTCACACAGGTTCCATGCATCACACACACAAACTCATCCCACACAACCACTGCCCCAGGCGCCCCAGATGGGGCAGCCCTTTGCCTTCGGTGTTACGCGGTCCCACCTTGCTGAACCTGGGGGAGCAGGACGAGAACTGCCGGATTTCCACCGGCTCATCCTCCGTCGTGTCGTCCTCGTCGTACGAGTTGATGTGGTGGTACTTGTCCGAACGAGCTGGAGGGGGAAGGGAGATAGTAATAAACAGCCCCTGTGCGCCACCCCAGAGGTGGCTGCATCTCAACACCAGATGAGGGGTCCCCGTATACACAGCCCCCCACCCCACCCCAGAGGTGGCTGCATCTCAGTGTTGGACGAGGGGTCCCTGATCCTGCCATTCATTCCCAGCGGCTCAAGTGGCCCGCCCGGACACAATGAGTTTGCAGGCTCTCAGCAGGCCGGGGGCCCATGGCACATAACCCCGTCACCCGACTGGCGTTAATGGGATCCCAGGGGGACTAGGGACTGAACAGGGCATGGAGACCGAGGTCCCTTCTGCCCCCAGCCAGAGATGCTGCTTGTGGGCATGGAGTGTGGGCAGCTTGCCCGGCCACTGACTAGGCCGAGAACATCAGACCCTAATCTCCTTTAAAAGAAATGGAAAGCAACACCCCCTGGTGGCAGCATGGAGGATTGAACACCCCTACTCTGCCAGAGCCGGGGAGAGAACCCAGGAGTCCTGGCTCGCAGCCCCCCCTGCTCCAACCACTAGACCCCACCTCCCCTCCCAGAGCTGGGCCATAGAACCCAGGAGTCCTGGCTCCCCGCCCCCCCTGCTCTAGCCACTCGACCCCACACCCCTCCCAGAGCTGGGCCATAGAACCCAGGAGTCCTGGCTCCCAGCCTTCCCCTGCTCTAACCACTAGACCCCACTCCCCTCCCAGAGCTGGGGATAGAACCCAGGAGTCCTGGCTCCCAGCCCCCCTGCTCCAACCACTAGACCCCACTCCCCTCCCAGAGCCGGGAGAGAACCTGAGCCCCCAGACCCATGGTTCTAGATACACAAGTCTCTTGAGTCCCCATTCCCTGAGCTCTGGACCCCAAGCTGGCTCATGCTTCGGCCATGGCGGGCTGCCCGGGCTGTGCCCGTGGTGGGGAGGGGGTGGCAGGAGCGGGGGGGGGCACTTGCTGTCGAAGTAGCTGGTGTCCTCCTCCGACTCCAGGTGGGGGATGAACTCGGCCTTGTGGCGCAGCAGCCCCGCCCAGTCGAGTTCCTTGAAGAAGTTGTGTTGCTTCACCTCGAACGCGCCACCTGCGGAGACAGACCCCCGCCGGGCATCAGGGAGGGGAGGCCGGAGAGCGGGGCCCTTCGCTGGGGGCGGGCAGCGGGAGGCCGGGGGGCAGGGCCCTTCGCTGGGGGGGCGGGCAGGGGGAGGCCAGGGGGCAGGGCCCTTCGCTGGAGGCAGCCAGAGCCGCCCGGGCCCATGGCTGCTGGTCACCACACGGCTGTAATGGCCAAATGGCTGCAGCAGGTCCATGGTGCGATGCTCGTGGCCCTGAGCCCGAGTGCCCGTCCCCAGCTGGGCCCCGTGGGTCGGGGGGGAAACGTCTTACCGGCCCCCAGGCGGACGAGCGGGTCGGTCTGCAGCAGGCAGGAGATGAGGTGTTGGGCATCCGCGGGCAGGGCCTCCTCCCCATCCGGCCACAGGATGTCGTCTGAGAATGGGGGCGGAGGGTTAGATGGGGGCAGAGCTGGACCCCAACTCAGCCCCACCCCCGACTCTTCCCCCCCACACTCAGCCCCTCCCCTGACCCTTCCCTCCAAACTCAGAGCCTCCCCCAAACTCAGCCCCACCCCAACTCTTCCCCCCACACTCAGCCCCACCCCCGACGCTTCCCCCCAAACTCAGCCCTCCCCAAACTCAGCCCCACCCCGACCCTTCCCACAAAATTTACATTGTCCCCTCCATGAACCTGCCCTCAAACTTCACCCCCCCCCGGGGATGCCCGTGACCCCCTCCCCCCCGCGCCCCCACCTACCGCTGATGACCTGCCCGAAGAGCTCCTCGGGGGTGTCCCCGAAGAAGGGGACGCAGCCCACCAGGAACTCGTACAGGATGATGCCCATGGCCCACCAGTCCACCGGCTTCCCGTAGCCCTGCCGCAGGATCACCTCGGGCGCGATGTACTCGGGGGTCCCGCACACCTGCCCAGGGGGCGCCCGTCAGTCCTCGGCCAGTGCCCCCGCCCCCGCTGAGCCCCCCACCCCGTCAGTCCTCGGCCAGTGCCCGTAGCCCCCGCTGAGCCCCCTGTGACAAAGTGGGACTGTTCTTAATGTTTCCTCTGAATACTGTGTGGGTGCCTCAGTTTCCCCAATGCAGTTCTTAAGTCTCTAGGTGGTGGGGAAAGGCCAGTGTGCATAAATCACTGGCACTCTGTGTCCCTGGCAACAAATGGCCGGGCCCCTTCCCCCCCTGCAAGGAAATAGCTAAAGGTGAACAAAGATCAGGTGACCTCCTGGCCCGGGAAAGGAACAAGGCAGAGGAGATAGGGCTGGAGGGGGTTTCAGTTTGGAGCTGGCTGGGGACAGGGAGTGAGGGCAGACGGGGGTGTCTGGCTCACTGGGCCCCAGAATGGACCCGGCTGAGGGGTCCCGTTCTCTGGACCTACAAGCTCTGTTTTAGCCCGTATTCCAGTCATCTAATAAACCTGTTTTACTGGCTGGCTGAGAGTCACGTCTGACTGTGCAGTGGGGGGGCACAAGCCCTTTGATTCCCCAAGACCCCC